CCCGGCGCCGGGTATGTTCGGAGTTTTGGGTCAACGGCTCGTTGACCCCCGAGTTGACCCCCGAAACGTGATCCGTTTGACCTGAAATTTTTATACAACCTATATCATGTCTAAAACAACCAATAAATGCCATTTTGGTCATCCAAAACATCACAAATGTTTTTATACATTTTTCATATTCTTCACATGCATAATCATGTAGTTTTATTCACATAAGCCTAATTACCTAGGCCAATCACATGCTTAAACTCCTTTAAACATCATTATGAATACTTATAACATTTATTTAGGTAATCTCATACTTAACCCAAGAGTTATAAGACATTAAGCCGTCCACTCACCTCGAATGAGCGTTGTGAAGTTCTACCCTTCCCGGTTGAACTCCGATGGAACTCCGGCGAACTTTGATGAACTCCGGTGACAACTCCGGCGACTCTTTCAACTTCGTGAAAGTTTTTAAATCACCCTTTACAAGTGCCTAACAAGGTTTTATCATCACAAAACCCAAATCAATACAAATAACCTCTAAAAGGTTATTTTCCGGTGAGCCGGTCTCTTTGGCTTCTAAGTCCGTTCTTGGACTTATAACCATCTTTCAACCCATTGTTCTACACTTTGGGCATGTAGAACCATCCTAGGGGTTATTCATATGATATATAACTCATATGGTAGAAGAAAAAATAAAGGAAAAGTTATGATAAGGTTATTACCTTAATTTTCACACTTCTTCCTAGCTCTCTCCTCCTATAATCTTCTCCCTTGAGCTCCTTGCTTGTTTGAGCTTTCTTGGCTATGGAGATGGAGGATTTTCAGAGCTCTTCCTCTCTCTCTTTGGGGGCTGGGTCGAGCTGAGTGATAGGGGTGGGAGTGAGGAGACCTTCCTCCTTGTCTTACTTAGCAAATAAGTGTGGGAGTGAGGTCCACACTTGTTTGATGCCAATTAAATCATCCAGCCACCTCCCTATGACATTGAGCAGCCCTCCCTTGTCTCAATAGCCCATAAAAACGTGGGGTGGCCCCCACTCATGTGGGAGGTCATCCCATGTTGTCCCGACGTGTACATTCGGCCCCGAAAGTTGTATCTTTTGGACTGTTTTAAGTATATTTTATTTTATCGGGTCAAATAAAGTATATTATGTGTTTTCAATCATTATGACCCTCATAATGAATATACATTCCCCAACTTTAATTTATAAGCCCCCGAAATTCATTTCGGGCTGTTATCTGTTAAATTACCAATACCGGTAATTGGGCCCTATTTGCCAAACCGGTCAACCCAATGCCTTTATCATGGCCCATTATGAATGTCCACCACCATGTAACTATTATCTAGACCAAGATGAATATAACATGTGGTCTCGTGTTATCGGGTTACCCCCGCTCCGAGTGTGGGCCCCACGTGGAATTTACTATTCACGCAAAAGAAATAACAAAAATTTACAACCTCGTAAATTCATTACTCAATACACCATATTCAATACATAATTTACATAACGGTAAATATATTTGGGGACGGTGTTACAGGGCCAGTGTCCGGGCCGCTGTCTGGGCCCAATAGTCGTGATACCCAGGGTCCAAGTCTATATACTCTATCAAAAAGAAAATAAGATTGAAGAGATGTGAAACCCATGTGTTCGGACACAAATCTCCAAATCTGTTGGTTTTGGGTGGGGAAAAGGGCCAAAAATGACACTAAGGTTTTTAATGAAGTTCGGATTGGACACTAAAGTTTTAAGTAGACCAAATAAACACAAAATTAAACCTTTTGGATCCATTTCAGCCACTCTCCTTAACTGCTCCGTTATTTTTTCCATTCGATGCCGCTAGAAATCAGAACAGATCGGTTCGCCTCTTCTTCTCCCAAATGTAGCAAACGGCACTCATCCTTTGATGTGAACAGAAACACCTACTCGCCACCTCCTGCTACTTCAAATCAAAATCAGCAGCAAAAATATAGGTGGAGCTCCTTCTTCGACAGGAACATGGGTAACAACATAACAGGAGAAATTCGATGCTACCTTCCTTGAAATCTTTGTCTGCCACTCAACAAAGAAATTAAAATATGGCCGGAGAAAATCGATATCGAGTTCAGCTTCCAATAGAATCAGCAACGCCTCAGCCTTCGATACTGAATCGGAGAACGAGCAGCTCCAGCAATTGACGCCAGCAACAAAAAGTCAGCACCAACATCTTCTCCAACGCCATTACCGACGGGACAAGTGATGTACAACTTTGGAAGCATCTCACCAATCAGCTTTATCTTCTGGCAAACGAGCAAAGCAACCGGCAATGGAGATGAAGACTCCTCTGAATTTCAACTGCCGATTTCTTTCTCTCCCATAAACGGCACCATCAGTCCGGAAAAGAAACAGGGGCATCGGCCCACTTCTCTTCACCACAAACCAGCGTAGCCTCGACATCTGACAAGGCAGCAAACGAACACCAACATCTCCAGATAATACCAACATCTCTGCTGCTCATCACTGGAAGAATAGTGCCGCATACCATCATCAGAAATTGATCTCAAGAGCAGCTCTAAGATTTTTCATCCTCCCAGATGAACTTAGTTTTCATAAATTGAGGGCTGCGTTGTTTAACGACAGGGAAGGGGTCATCTACAGGAGATGTTAAGGGGTGGCTGAAATGGATCCAAAAAGTTTAATTTTGTGTTTATTTGGTCTACTTAAAACTTTAGTGTCCAATCCGAACTTCATTAAAAACCTTAGTGCCTTTTTTGGCCCTTTTCCCTTTTGGTTGTTGCGGTTCATACCAAAATCGAATTAGGTTGTTTGTTTATAATAAAAATAATGATTGACGGCTTTGTTGCGTGTATTAGAGCGATTCAGAGCTTACTGTTGCCAGGTTATCATGGCGGGTGTTACGCGGCTCTGTGTCGGTGGACCGCCGATTGTGGGTTGCGGCTGGGGTGTGCGCTAATAATGGGCGAGTGATGTGTGTCGATCGCCTATCTTGTCGGCGCTTGGATATGTCGGTTGAGTGGCGTCGTTGGAGTGAATGGAAGAGAGTGGTCGTACGTGGTGAGTAAAACGAGAGTTTAGGGATGAATGTCCCTTTTAGCCTCGGTTTATGGACGGGTAATAGCGTGAGTTTTGGTTACCGTTTTTTCGGGCTCATTTGCACGGCCCAGTAAGGATGGATCTGGACCGTATTTTTTGATTTGGTTGTGTGTAGTGGAAAACAAATTAAAATTCATCATTATTTTAAGTACTCTAGCAATCCTGGAAAACGGTTTATACAATGACACAAAACTCAGAAATTCATAAATTCTTTCAATGAATTATATTATGCGTTTTTTGATATGATTTTTATTATTATTTTATTCACTAGGTTAGTGTTTATAAATGATACGGAGTATTTTTTTTTCAAATAATGAATCTGATTTTATAAATGCATTATTGATAGTAAGTACTGGGCAACCAATCTAAACATTTTGAAGTATTGGGTATCATGACATTAAATTGGATCAACATCAAAGCGGATCTTCCAAAGCCAAATATAATGGTAAAATTGGAAATGTAGTATGACTTCATATGCTATGACTATAAATAAAAGCCAAAGTCAATCATTGTCATGTGTGAGTTTGTTGTTAAAAAAACCTGTCTTTACCCACGGTCAATTGTATGTTGCGGTTTCCACGGTTACCAGTCGTCGGGGTCTGAAAATTTTAATTTGTGATGAGGATGAAGGCACCACAGACATCACTCAAAATGTTGTTTTCGAGGAAGCGTTCAACAACGCCTAGGGTTATATTATACTCCGTAGTCATTTAGTAATGTTATTGTCTTTATTAATTTCTTTTGTATTTCCCAACATTTTACCAATACTAAATCCTCTTTTTGAAATAGTGATATAATATGTGCCCAACTACGTTAACATATATTTATGTTACATCTTAGATTTCTCTTGAGGATATATAATTCTTGCTACCTTATACAAGGTTTTGTGTAACAATTGAGTCCATTTCATTTTATCCAGCATTATAAACCGTACATCGCGAGCCGTCTATTTTCTCTAGGGTTATCAGAAGATAACGCCTAGCTGTGGTGTCCGCCGCCGGTTTTGCCTAGGTGGTCTCGACCACCGTTGGGGACTGGTAGGAGTGCGGTTTGTTTCTTCCCTAGGGCTTACCGCCGCTGGGGTCTAGTTTTCTTCCCAAGGGCTTTTCGCCGCTGGGGTTCGTTTCCCATTTTCGTTTTATTAACGAAGAATGGTGCTTAGGTTGTGGTGTAGGCGAACGACGACAGTGGTCTGGGCTTCGTCGGAAGGGCTAGGTCGCAGATTGGGTTTGGCCAAACAGGAAGACGCAGGGGACGAACGAAGGGAGGGGATCTCCATGTCAGGAGAAGTCGACGTCGTGATTACGGATGAGAAAATCAGCCTTCCGGGATTCCAAGATTTGATAACATCTGTTTGGCGCCCGGGGAAATCGCTTTGGTGCAACAACAATGATGAAGTAGAGGTGGTCGAGTCGGAGGAAAACCACTCTGGTGCAACATCAATCGCTGTGAGGGTCCGGCCTCCCCCAGAACCACCTCCATGTTTTCATATGGTGGTGTTGGTGAAGAAAACAAGTGATTGTGTTATTTTTATTGTCTGCTTTGTTTACTTCTATTTCGGATGTTATGTTCTATTTTTCTTTTGTGTTTTCAATCCTTGTAAGACTCTTGCATTAGGTTTAGGGGATGGAAAGTCTGCGGTAACCGTCATTGACTTTAAGTTGTCCAAATTTGGTCTAGCGAGTTATACTGCTTTGTTACAGGTGGTTAACTCTCAGTCTCGGCCACAAGCGGATGGTTATTTGTGGTTCTTTTCTATTTTTGTACTCTACTGAATGCTATTTACTAGTTTCTAGCAAAAAAAAGCAGTACATCGCGGGTGATTTACTAGTTTCAAAAAAGAACAATTGTAACCGGATTAACTGCATCTCTCTGTTGTTGTTTTCTACCTTAAAATTGAAAAATTACCGTCATGGCGTCATGGTGTGTTGATGACTGACCATTTCTACCTCTCAGCCTTCCATCATTTCAGTTTCATTTTAATCATCTTGATCCTTGTTATCAGCTCTTCTGATTGCTTGCAACCGGTTCTCAGATCGATCCAGGAAGAGGGTCGAGGTTCACGATTCAAGGAAATGGTTGAGACCAGGCGAAGTTCGTCCTCTTCCAAACGCCCCCCTCCTCCCCCCTCCTCACCTCTACCCCATGGAAAGCGGTCCAAGGTCAGGGTTTAGGCTCCTCCTACATACATATTGATAGATTTGTGTATAATCGTGAAAATGAATTTATTGAGCTTAACTCCTAGCTTTGTAGGCTACTGAGTCGTTGTCATCCACGGATGACATGCTCGGGGAGAAGACGCCGGGTGCGGTGAATGAATCAGGGCCGGAATCGGCGGAGCAAGAGTTTCGTTCAGCTGATCCGGATGGAACCTGTGCATTGAAGTCGGCAGACGCGCCGCTCTGTATGAAATTGCCCGAGGCTTCACTGGGTGGTGAGCCTTTGGTGACTCTAATGAGTCCGGATGGGGATCTTTTTAATTAGTTATGCTCTGGCACTAATTTTAACATAGTTTTTTTTTTAAATAGTTAAATTCTGTTCGTTTTCTTTGGGCTGTAGACCATTCTGCTATTGATGCGGTGAAGTTGAATTCAAATGGGTCTGGACTGAACAAGGAAAATAAGCTGCAGCTGAAGCCTACTCTTGGAACCGCATGGGGAAAACTTCTCTCTCAATACCCACAAGTTAGTTCTTTCTTCACTCGACCACTGTTTTAAGAGTTTGTCAAACATGTTCGTATCTCTGGTAGAGGAAAGATTTGATTTTGAACTCTTTGCTGATAATATAAGTTAAATTTAGTACACTTTCACCCTCCAAGATATGAACTTTGTATTGTTAGTCTCTACATTTCCAAAATGATTTCTTTTCTCAGTTTCTTTACTCAATTAGTCATGTGATGATCATGTATCTTACTATCCAGATTCCTCACATTCTTTTGCATCAATCTACTTTGACTGTTGGACAAGGCCGCCAATGTGATTTGTGGGTGGGTGATCCATCTGTCAGTAAATCTTTATGCAATCTGAAGCACATTCAGACTGAGGTAGTATATCATTCTGTTTATCACCCTTTTTATCATTTAGATACCATATATGTTTCTGAAAATACTGGGTTAATATTGATTTTAATTGTTTATTTACTATGTGTTGTATTTAGAAAGGGAGTTCTATCACACTACTTGAAATTAGCGGGAAAAAAGGTTCTGTACAAGTAAATGGTAAGATTTATCCGAAGAATTCTACTGTGCCGCTAAATGGTGGTGATGAGGTGATTTTTGGCTTGTCTGGAAAGCATGCTTATGTATCCTCTTTGAATGCCCAAATAATTATAATGTAATTATGTTCAATATCTTCGATGTGTTTTTATGCGAAAAAGATTGATTGATGCTTTTACGAGGAAAGCCAGATTTCTTAACTTAAGTTTAGATCTTTCAAAAGCTTACCGGTGAAGACATATCTGCTGCAAGCATACCTCCTCCAGTGAGCATCTTAGAAGCCCATCGTGGACAAATGAAAGGTGTTAATTTTGAGGCGAGGTCAGGGGACCCGTCTACAGTAGCCGTTGCTTCTACTTTAGCTTCTTTATCAAATCTGAAGGAAGAGTTGTTGCTTCTCCCCCCATCAGATTGTAATGGTGATATAAAACAAGAGACTGAGGTCTCAGCACTGCCTGCTGATAGTGAAGATCCAGATAGACATGATTTAGACTCTGACCTGAAGGATTTCTCTGATCATAATGATGTACCTCTTGATGAGAAGTCAGGTGCTATATCCCCTGAATGTGGCAATGAGAACTTGAATCCTGAGAGTGGTGGTGCAATAGATTCTTATGATGGAGAAACTGGGAAGGAAGCCGAGGCACCTCGGGAAATCAGGCCACTCATCCGGATGCTTACTGGATCTGCTTCTGAGTTTGATCCGAGCGGCAACATATCCAGAAATGATGACCATCAGAAAGACCTGCTTAAAGATTTTGATCCTCCTGTTTTAACATCAACCAAGCGCCAAGCATATAAAGATGGACTACAGCAATCAATACTTGATCCCAATAATATTGAGGTCTCGTTCGACAATTTCCCTTATTACTTGAGGTGAAAACATCAACTCAACATGTCATGAATGACGAGTTAAAGTGGTTGCGATATATTTGCTACGATAATGTTTCCACTTCAGGTGGATACATTTATTTTGTGGACTGCAATGATATTTAAACCCTAAGAGTTAATTAATAATACCGACTAGAATCCATTTACAACTTGGGTGTTTTTTTTGGATCACATCCAAACACAAAAAGCTGCAACGCTTCTTGCATTTGCTGTTGTAATATATTCATTGAAGCAGTAATTTTCTTTTACCTCTAAGTCCTGCAGTGTGATCAAAGTATGAAACAAAAATTACATGGGAAATTTCCCAAAGTAGGAGTAAAAACAATGTAAAATTCCAAAACAGGAATACTATGTTTTTCCCTAAATAGGAGTGCATTACTGCCATCTTGGAATAATACTGCCAGTGTTTTGGCATTATGAGGCATTAATATGGCAGTATTAACGCCATAATTGGCAGTATTTTGCAAGCATGATAGTAACTACTATTTTTGGAAAAAACTTGACACTCATTTTTTGGAATTTCACAGGATTTGTACTCTTGTTTAGGGCAATTTCTTACAGTCCATTCGTGAATGATTTTTATAGGAATCTAAATATGTGCACAAATAAATTCTACGTTCTGCTGAATTAGCTGAGTTCAAGTGATCTAACACAGTTGCCTTATCAGTGTTCGTGGATATGTTTGTTCATGGACAATTATGATACATGTATACTATTAAACTTGAATCTTTGGTGCAAAAAAGATATGCTTGCTAAGGTTCCAATTCCAAATGTAGTTCCTTTTTTGTTTTGAGTTTAGAAATCTTAGAATTATATCAGTGTGTCAGTGAAAATTATTTGTTTCTGTTGCCAATTTTTTGACTGATTTTACTTTCTGTTTTTAGTAAAACTGTTTCTGTACACTATTCCTTTTCTGTTGATTACTTGATTTCTTTCTTAATTGCAAGTTGGTTCCTTATTTTTCTTCATTGAATAAATCCTTGTATCTGACAGTGAAATTACGAAGAATGTTCTGATTGCTTCAACTTACATACACTTGAAATGCAACAAGTTTGTAAAGTATGCCTCTGATATTTCCACAGTGTGCCCAAGGATTTTGCTATCTGGTCCGGCAGGTAGTCCATCCGGTCTATACTCTATACCATTAATGGGAATCTATCCCTTGTGTTGTAACATTCTGTTCTCACTTCTATTAATTCCCACTTTTTTATTATAAAATTTACAGGCTCCGAAATCTATCAGGAGACTTTGGCTAAGGCACTTGCAAAACACTATTGTGCTAGGCTTCTAATTGTTGATTCTCTTTTATTGCCCGGTGTAAGACTCTTTATATTAATTTCATTTCCTATGTGCTTTCACTTACCAAATTTTGCTTGGTGCTAGAGTTTATTTAGCTTATTTTTCCAAGAAACTATGCAGGGGTCAACAAAAGAAGTTGATCCTGGAAAAGAGAGCTCAAAGCCTGATAGAGCAAGTATGTTTGCTAAACGCGCTGCACAGGCAGCAGTACTACGACTCAATAAAAAGCCATCTTCAAGTGTTGAAGCTGATATCACTGGTGGTTCAGCTATAAGCTCTCATACTCTGACAAAGCAGGAAGCTTCTACTGCTTCATCAAAGAACTACACATTCAAAACTGGTGTGCTGTTTTTCGCTCAACTTGGAACTTTTTTTGGTTTCAATGCTTGAAATGTAGCTCATGTTCTCAACGCCAGATAAATCTATTTCCCGGAGCAACGGAGAAACTTACATCTTTTTAATTGTTGGCATGTGTTATCTTGTCAGGTGATCGTGTCAAGTATGTTGGTTCATTACCATCAGGGTTTTCTCCTTTGCAAGCTCCTGCAAGGTAACTGCTGAGCAGATGGATTACTAAAACTTTAAGAAATATTTTCTCTTTCACACTGCATCACCTCTTTCTGAGATGCATACTTGAGTTTGTGATCTAGTAACTAAGTTTAAGACAGATTAAAATTCGTTAAGCTATATGCTATTGTTTGAAAACAGAAAAATGCCAGGGATAGAAAAATGTTAATGACAATTGTTTTATTATGCTCGATTCAACTTGAAAATTCTGAAGGAAAAGAAATCTACATTAGGATTCTTCAAAACTATACATATATTAACAATTAAAATAAACAATTTGAATAATTTTAGAAGTGTATATAAAATTGATATATTGATATTTTAACTTGTTTTTTCCCTCCATATTTTCATAACTTGTATTTTTCATCCATATTTATATCTTCCAAGGTTTGAAATTTGAACGAAGCCTTAGTATCTTGCATCTTTGAAAACAGGTTAAAATTCATTAAGCTACATGCTATGTTTGAAAACAGAAAAATGCCAGGGATAGAAAAGTGTTAATGACAATTGTTTTATTATGTTTGATTCAACTTGAAAATTCTGAAGGAAAAGAAATCTGCATTAGGATTCTTCAAAACTATGCATATATTCACAAGTGAAATAAACAATTTGAATAATTTTAAAAATGTATGTAAAATTAATATATTGATATTTTAACTTGTTTTTTCCCTCCATATTTTCTTATATTTTATTTTTCCACCATATTTTTATCTTCCAAGGTTTGAGATTTGAATGAAGCCTTGGTATCTTGCATCTTTGAGAAATGATGGTTGCCCTGTTTGAAGAGTTATGTTGCTGTATTTCCATTAACACTATCTTAGAATTTTACACAATAGATTACTTATGTTCATTGTCCTATATAACGATCTTTTGTCATGATCTATTCCTCACTTGCGTCTTTCCATGTTGGTTTCACTTTAAATTGTAACCAGAGAACAATGGACGTGACTGTTTTACCACTGTGTGTTGATTGAACATGTGAAAATGTTCCAATAAAAAGTTACTCTGTTTGACTAATAAATACTACGTAGTTGAAACTAATGACGTTTGTTAGAAACCAAATGTGCTTGGTTTTTATTTCTGGACTTGATTGCCTTGTGCTTGGCTGACATTTATGTCGCTTGATGGGATTGTGCAACTGTTCTGTTAATCTTTTAATTAGAGTATTAGATGTATCTAGAAAGAAATTCTAGCTCTTTGATATACTGTTTTAGGGGTCCAGCGTATGGGTATAAAGGTGAAGTGCTTCTTGCGTTTGAAGAAAATAGTTTGTCAAAGATAGGAGTCAGATTTGAGCGGCCAATTCCTGAAGGCAATGATCTTGGTGGACTCTGTGAGAATGATCATGGATTTTTCTGTGCTGGTACTTATTTGTTCTTACATATCCATTGTGCCACTTTATATTCTCATTCTGAGTGTATTACACATAAAGTACTATTGGTGTCAATTCTTTGGTCTAATATAATTCTCTGTACACAGCGGACTTATTGCGCTTAGTTAACTCCAGCACTGATGATATTGACAGACTGGCAATCAATGAACTTTATGAGGTTCCTCACTCGCTCAATGTGTATTATGGATGTTTATACAATAGTTGTCCCTTTTTATACAATGTTTTATCAGCACCGGAATGTTCTGTTTGTAGGTTGCTTCACAAGAGAGTAAAAATGGCTCCCTAATTTTGTTTGTGAAAGACATAGAGAAGCCTGTTATGGGAATTCCTGAGATCTTTGCAGCAGTCAAGTTTAAGCTTGAAAAGTTGCCAGAGAATGTTGTTGTGATAGCATCCAATTCCCAATCAGACAACCGGAAGGAAAAAGTATGCATGGGTGTTAATGGGACTAAGTATTTACTCTACTTTTGGGATTTTTTTTTCATTCTTACCTCATACCTCACGATACTAATATATTTTCCAGTCTCATCCGGGCGGGTTTTTGTTTACAAAATTTGGGAGCAACCAGACGGCATTGCTTGATCTTGCATTTCCGGTAATAGTTTGGTTTATTTATTTGAATGGTACATGTAATGATTATTCCTTATGATTCCTGCCTTTGTTAGGCTGATTTAATGTTAGTGAGTGCATTTATATAGGTTTATCTCTTTATTTATTCTTCAATGTATCTACATAGAGTATTCACTTGCTTGATACTTGATAGTATAAGATTTAGGCTTATAACTTGTGCTTTTCACATCTTTAATCATGTAAACCGTCTACTAGTTTAAATAAATTGTAGTGAATGTTACCACTTGGTAGGATTTAGGCTTAAAGATTGAGCTTTTCACTTCATGTAAAGCATTAATCATCTCATAAATATATTGAAGTAAATCTTAGCACTTGGTTAGATGGGAATAGTATTCACTCATGGAATATGAGTTGTATCTTTCTGGTCACATCTGATGGGTTGTTATTTGTTTGTTTGTTTATTTATTTATTTATTTGTTTGTTTGTTTGTTTGTTTGTTTGTTTGTTTGTTTGTTTGTTTGTTTGTTTGTTTGTTTGTTTGTTTGTTTGTTTGTTTGTTTGTTTGTTTGTTTGTTTGTTTGTTTGTTTGTTTGTTTGTTTGTTTGTTTGTTTGTTTGTTTGTTTGTTTGTTTGTTTGTTTGTTTGTTTGTTTGTTTGTTTGTTTGTTTGTTTGTTTGTTTGTTTGTTTGTTTGTTTGTTTGTTTGTTTGTTTGTTTGTTTGTTTGTTGTTTGTTTGTTTGTTTGTTTGTTTGTTTGTTTGTTTGTTTGTTTGTTTGTTTGTTTGTTTGTTTGTTTGTTTGTTTGTTTGTTTGTTTGTTTGTTTGTTTGTTTGTTTGTTTGTTTGTTTGTTTGTTTGTTTGTTTGTTTGTTTGTTTGTTTGTTTGTTTGTTTGTTTGTTTGTTTGTTTGTTTGTTTGTTTGTTTGTTTGTTTGTTTGTTTGTTTGTTTGTTTGTTTGTTTGTTTGTTTGTTTGTTTGTTTGTTTATTTGTTTATTTATTTATTTATTTATTTATTTATTTCTTTCTTTCTTTCTTTCTTTCTTTCTTTCTTTCTTTCTTTCTTTCTTTCTTTCTTTCTTTCTTTCTTTCTTTCTTTCTTTCTTTCTTTCTTTCTTTCTTTCTTTCTTTCTTTCTTTCTTTCTTTCTTTCTTTCTTTCTTTCTTTCTTTCTTTCTTTCTTTCTTTCTTTCTTTCTTTCTTTCTTTCTTTCTTTCTTTCTTTCTTTCTTTCTTTCTTTCTTTCTTTCTTTCTTCTTTCTTTCTTTCTTTCTTTCTTTCTTTCTTTCTTTCTTTCTTTCTTTCTTTCTTTCTTTCTTTCTTTCTTTCTTTCTTTCTTTCTTTCTTTCTTTCTTTCTTTCTTTCTTTCTTTCTTTCTTTCTTTCTTTCTTTCTTTCTTTCTTTCTTTCTTTCTTTCTTTCTTCTTTCTTTCTTTCTTTCTTTCTTTCTTTCTTTCTTTCTTTCTTCTCTTCTTTCTTTCTTTCTTTCTTTCTTTCTTTCTTTCTTTCTTTCTTTCTTTCTTTCTTTCTTTCTTCTTTCTTTCTTTCTTTCTTTCTTTCTTTCTTTCTTTCTTTCTTTCTTTCTTTCTTTCTTTCTTTCTTTCTTTCTTTCTTTCTTTCTTTCTTTCTTTCTTTCTTTCTTTCTTTCTTTCTGTCTTTCTGTCTTTCTGTCTTCTGTCTCTCTGTCTCTCTGTCTCTCTGTCTCTCTGTCTCTCTGTCTCTCTGTCTCTCTGTCTCTCTGTCTCTCTGTCTCTCTGTCTCTCTGTCTCTCTGTCTCTCTCTCTCTCTCTCTCTTTCTTATTTACCTTTGTATTCTTTTGATAATGGAGACAAATTGCTAGAATGTTATTTTTTCCTGTTAGCCTCAATGATTGTTTTCTGACAATGAGATTTTCCCAAGTCGCATTTGTACTTTTTACCATCTAGAGCACTCATATTTATCATTTTATCCACATCTCATATATCACTCTTCCTACAGGGGGTCAAGCATTTTAATGTACATTTCAATATATATCCACCTTCCCCATCCCACTATGTTTGGAACAAGAGAATGTGGTACTCAATTTAAGAAAAGAGTGAAATTATATGATTGATATGATTTGTAAACTATGCATGGTCTTGATCTATTTATAAATATGGGCAAATATCATATGAGAATATCAGGGCGCGTTTACTAACAGAGATATTTTTCAGATTTTTCAGGAAAACTGGAAAAAGAAAAACAAAAAACGTGTTTACTAACAAAAATGCTGGAAAACTGGAGAAAAGACAACAAAAAATTGCATTTACCAAATCGTTTTCTAAAATAAAAAAAATGAGATATGCCTCTGTTTTCCTTAATGAATTTGGAGAAATGACTTTTACTAGTTTTCCAAATTTGGAAAATGCGGATGCTGCAGTGCCGCTGCAATGAATTTGCACACTTATGCCTAGTGTTGGATCCGGTCCCACTCCGGTGTCAGTTCCAGTATGGTCCGGTCAACCACCCGGCGGTCCGGTCATTGACCTGGCGATCCATGTCCGGTCCGGTTCGTTCTAGAGGTGTGCACAATTCGGTAAACCGACCGAACCAAATCGATACCGAAATTAAGGTACGTACCAAATACCGAACCGAAATTTCGGTTCGGTAATCGGTACGTATAATTTTGAAAATTCGGTATTCGGTTCGTTATGTACCGAATACCAAAATACATAAAATAATAAATATAAATATGAAAATATATTTCAAAAAAAATGTTAAAATTTAATATATTTGTATAGTTTCGCCCGAAATATATAAATATTTGTATATTTATATATATATTTCAGTATTTATATATAATATATTTATATATATTCATTTACTATAACCATTAAGTAAATAGGCCTGAAATATAAATATATATATATATATATATATATATAATTATATATATTTCAGTATGTATTATACGTAGTATATGTATACTACATAATATACTACGTAGTATTTATATATTATATACTCCCTCCGTCCCCCTAACTTTGTCCCATTTTACCTTTTTCGTCCGTCCCATTAAGTTTGTCTCATACCATATTTGGCAATATTTGGGTGGTTACAATTCATTCTTACTTTATTCACACTATCAATTCAACACCAACCACACAATTCTAATTTTTCTTAAAATTTGTGCCACACTTCTTTGTCCCAAACATAGTGGGACGGAGTAGTATAACATATTTAAATATTTATTTATAAAAATTAAATAAATATTATTGAATGCCTATTTGGCATTTCGGTTTACGGATTGCCAAACCGATTTTTTTTTCGGTTTTCACCAAACCAAACCGATTTAGTTCGGTTCGGTATTCGGGAATATGCAAAACCGAAATTTCGGTTCGGTTCGGTTTGATATCACCGAATGAACACCCTTAGTTCGGTCATTGATCCGGCGGTCACTGGTCCGGCCAACAACCCGGCGGTCCGGGCCGGTCCGGTCATTTACCCGGCGGTCTCTGTCCGGTCCGGTCCACGACCCTACGGTCCTTGTCCGGTCTG